TGAGGACCAAAATGAACAAACCATAAACTAATGTTCAAAATTAAAACATTCATCTAAATATGATAAGATTAGGAATAAAATTATATACAAAACAAATACTGAGAATGTAACCTTCATTCGATGACCAAAATGAAAGAATTAAAAAGGGGAGACACTCTCTACATAATTTGATCAAGTGGTAATATCAGGAACCCTAATTCCTTTTATAATTTCTAAAAACCCTAGCCCACACTCATTTTACTCTCTTCTGCCGCCGCTTCCCTCTCCCTCTCCCTCATTCTTCTTTTCTTTTCTTTTGTATTTTCAGTTCAATAGCAGAGAGAAAAAAATTATTTCTCTCAACTCTCTTCCCTCCTTCTCGAACATCCTTGTTGTGGGAGATAAAAGGCCTCCTTCCGACCACCGTTGTAACCGGTCCCGATAACTACTTCGAAAAACAAGGGCTAAAACTCCAATGCAATGACCGACTGTTTAAAGGTGAGGCCCATTTTCGAATCTACTTTCTTTTTTTTGTTTCAGTTTTTTTCCTTTTCCTCGATTCTCCTCTCGTTCGAATATGCCGCTCCCTTTTGAATCTACTTCTCTCGGTTATATGGTGAGGCTCGATTTGGTGGTTGGGTAGGGTGTATGGGTATGATGGCTATATCTAGGATTGGTGAGATTTGACATCGAAAAATATGGGGTCTCAAGTTTTCTGGGATTGATTGATTTTTTGTTTTTTTTTCATTTGTTGATTTGATTTGTTTTCACTGTTTTGGAACAGGTGTGTTCCGATGAGGTGACCAATTGAATTGGGGTGGCTGTGATGGCTGGCGGCGTAGGAGTCTCAGGGTTAGAGTTAGGGATGTAAACGAGTCGAGTCGTTCGAGTATTGTTGAGCTCGACTTGACTCGAAAACTCTGAAATGAAGCTCGACTCGAAAATTCACGAGCTTAAAATTTTTAAGCTCGACTCGAACTCGAGATCCTGAACTGAAGCTTGTAACTAGTTCAAAAAGGCTCGAAAAAAAAAAAATCTTAAACTTAACTCGATTGAAACCTCAAACTCAAACTCAAACATAAACCTTAAATACATAAAATCTTACTGCATTTTAAAAAAAAATCAATACATAAATATTAATATTATTATTAATTTATTTTTTTAAATAAAATCTTAATATATTATATTTTCGAGCTGCTCACGAGCTTTTTAAGTCGAATATCGAGTAGCTCATTTCAGCTCGTTAAGAACTCGACTCGAGTCCATTCAATCCGAGTATTTATCGAGCTTTGATCGAATCGATTTTGAATAGCTCGCGATCTGTCTCGTCTCATTTACAACCCTAGTTAGGGTAAATAGTTTAGGTTAGATTAAATGTGGGCAAGTTGTGGTTTGGGCTCGGTTTTGGTTAACCAGGACAAAATCGGGTTATTACAATCCTAAAAACATTATACTACATGATAAAAAAATAAATAATATAGATTAATTGATTATTTGATGGTTTAATTGAGTATAAGTTATATATATATATATTTGCTTGATAAATTTGATTTTATTCATGTAATCTTAAAAGGGCTTAATTATGATTGTGAGTATCATTCAAAACCTTCCTAATTTAAATTGGAGAAAAAGGATATAAAACAAACAGGTAAAAAACTAGACAACTTCGACAATACAATGCAGCCATATATTTAGGTCTTTTTAAGATTGCCTCTGCAAAAAAAAAAAAAAAAAACGACATAATGCAACTTACGAACTGAGCAACCATTTGATTGTTCTCTTCAATGAAGAAACACCACCTCCAAAGTATAAGACAAGATTGAAGCAACCCAAAAACAAAAAAACTTGAGGAATAAAATCAATTCTCAACACTAAAAAATAATAAAAGAACTCTTTTTTCAAAGCAAAAAGGAAACATATATTGATTAGATATACATGTTTTTTTTATGAGTGTCATTTATACTTCATTATCAACATACATTTTTATATAAATAACAGAATGAGGAAAATAGTACCTCATATTATACTACTAAATTAAATTCAAGTACAATTAAAAACAAAGGTCAGCAGTATTACAGAAACAGTAAGTCACAGCAGTAAAGATTGCAATCAAACCTAGTAACAAAACAACACACTATTACCCAATCCATTGTTTTGCTAGCCCATCTGCCCTAGTGTTGGCACTCCGATGAATGTGACGCGTAATGACTGCTCAGACCATAACCATTGATACAATATCACAGACGAGGCGAACAAAGGAGGCGGGGCATGAGGCCGATTAATAATCCAGTTCAAAGAAGTTTTACCATCACATTCCGAGATCAACCTGAATTTCTTTCTTAGATTTGATGCATAGAAAGACTTTAGACCATAACTTACTACCAAGAGTGCACCCATAACAAGAGGACCCGGACCGATTGCTTCAGAGAATGTCCCCAAGTATTTCCCATCCAGGTTTCGAAGAATGCCACCAATTCCCCAGGACTCCAATCACGATTCTTAACGCCATCAGCATTGTATTTCAAAAACTGGGGGGAGGAGGTGACCAAGACGCTGAAACTAAACTTGAAGATCCGCTAGAGGAATATTTATCCACCAGTGAAGGATCACATACAAGATTAGCAATCGAAACCAGGGAAGACGAAACTTTAGCCTTAAAGCAATATACAAGCTAAAACTTCGCTAAGAAGAAAAGTTGGGAGGCGTCCAACTTATTATTACCAAACACGATTTCATTACTAAACTTCCATATCGACCATATAACAACACAAGGTATAAACTTCCAAATCGACTCTAAATGTAAGGAATGGACAAATCATACCATGCTATTAAAAAGGAAGGAATTCCACCTGGAAAAACTGAAGATAGGTTCCAGAAATGAAGAAATTGATTCCATAACTCCCATAAAACCTTCCATTTGATAAACATGTGAAAGGCCGATTCTAGTTCAAGTCTGCACAAGGGACAAAGAGGATCCACGACAGAAAGATCCCAACGTTTCATTAACTCAGCTTTGACATAAAACTCTCTTGAGTACCACTTGCAAACGAGAATTTCCACTCAGATTAGCTAATCCCAACCACACATACTTGCCTCAAAAAGGGGTAGGGCTAATCGATTTTGAAAAATCTTACCGAAATATTTAACCGATTAAGAGCCTTCCTCGTCTTCAATCCAAGACAGCCAGTCATTCTCAGCATCACTAGATCAGACACCATTCAGCATTGACAAAAGATCATCCCATTGCCATACCTCTCAATCGAACAACCTTCTTCACAAAAGTATATTCCATACCCAGCCCGAAAGACCTTTTGAGCCAAATTGTGAAAATTTTTCCATTTCTGTTTAAAGAAAGGGCAAAAATCATCGTAAACTTTATTTTCAAAGGGGCTTCGCACAGCCAAGAATCTAACCAAAAGAGTAACCTATACCCGAAGATGGTCTCGAAGACAGGAGACAATTGCATCATCCTTGTAAAAGTATTTAATTGCATTTCTCCACAACCAAGAAGTGCGATAAAGCTTCGAGCTATTTGGTAAAATAGACCTGACATCTAAGTTGTATTTTGGGCAGATTACACTCTTTCATAGGCTGTCCTTTTCATTAGCAAATTTCCATATCCATTTGCCTAACAATGCACGGTTTAGAAAATCAAGATCAAAAATACCCATGCCTCCATTCACCCTTGGTAAACATACAGTCAACAACTTGATCTAATGAATTCGATTCATATCCTCAGTACCACCGCAAAGAAAGTTCGCCATTAAGGAGTTCAACGTCCCAGATACCACCGAGGACATTTTGAACGTAGAAAGAAAATAAATGGACAGGAAAGTTAAGACTGACTTAATGAGCACAAGTTTGCTAGCTAGACAAAGAGCTTGATTTCCAACCAGACTGTTTGCTATGGAATTTTTGAATCACTGGTTTCAAGGAGGCATAATGTTTTTTGGGACCTAACGGGAGGCCAAGATAATCCGAACGAAAAGATCCTGCAAAACAACTAATGGACGATACCCAGCTCGCAAGGATAGATTCCTTGATATTGATTCCAAATAATCTCTCTTGGAAAGATTTAACTGGAGACCCGAAGCCATTTCAAAAATATGCCCTTTCAACATTCTTAACCTGGCCAAGCGATGCATTGCAGAAGATTATCAAGTCATCCGTGAACTGTAGATAAGATAACATAAAAAACTTGTCATTTTTTCCAATAGAGAAACCACTAAATAGGACCAATTCCACTACCTTTGAAAACATGAGATTTAGAGAATCACCAATCAAGTTGAACAAAAATGGAGATACAAAGCACCCTTGCCGAAGGCCTCTAGCCATCCAGAAGCTATCCGTGGGAACTTTATTAACTAAAACTGATATCGAAGTTGTAGAAATACAATTAAATATCAAAGAACACTAATGCTCCCCGAAGCCCATTTATTTTATATCCCTTATTAAAAGATTCCAATCACCAGTATCGTAGGCCCTCTTGAAATCTATTTTGAAAACAACCCCTTTGATTCAAGTAGTCGATCCCTTTGTTCACAATAAAGGAGCAACCTAGTATTTGTCTTCCTATAATTAAAGCAAACTGATATGGACTTTATTATAGATTCAACACAAGATTTGAGTCTCTTAGTGTTAGAGTGTTATTAGTTTGTTATGGTTTGTTATTAGCTTGTTATTAATTTGTTATGGTTGTTGGTTACTTGGGCTATATAAGCCATACTTATATTAGGTTGTAGGCAGAGTATTTTCTTCAATGTTCAATAAAAGCTTCATTATGTCATCTCTGTATCTTTAAGTTTCCTCCTTCTTCAATTGTTATCTCAGTCCATCAGCTTTCGTCACTCTCAGCCTCCATGGCAGTATTCTCACATGGTATCATTCGCTGATGATCCTGCATCTTTATTCCGCTTGAGTTTGTTGTTGTTTTCTTTCTAAACACCGATCAGTAACCGAATCCTCAACCACCGTCCGTCGCTATTCACCGTCCGTTTGTTTTTGTTTTCTTCATAGAAAATCCTTTGTTACCATGGGTCGTATGCACAGACGCAGTAAGGGTATTTCTGCCTCAGCTCTGACTTATAAGAGAACCCCACCAAGCTGGCTCAAGATCTCTTCTCAAGATGTTGAGGAAAACATTTGCAAGTTCACAAAGAAAGGCTTGACCCCATCTCAGATTAGTGTCATTCTTAGTGATTCTCATGATATTGCTCAGGTTAAGAGCGTTACTGGAAACAATATCTTGCGTATCCCTAAGGCCCATGGTCTTGCCCCTGAAATTCCTGAGGATTTGTATCACCTCATCAAGAAGGCCGTTGCCATCCGCAAGCATCTGGAGAGAAACAGGAAAGACAAGGATTCCAAGTTCAGGTTGATCCTTGTTGAGAGTAGTATTCACTGGCTCACCCGCTACTACAAGAAAACAAAGAAGCTTCTTCCTGTCTGGAAATATGAATCTACAACCGCCAGCACTCTTGTTGCTTAAGCAGCATTTGGCTCGTGCAATTTCTAGCTCATATGTGTCGGGTGTGGATGCTTCAATAGAGTTTGTTGCAGATGTCAATTTTTATTTTGTTTTAGATACTGTTTTAGTTAATATTTGGTGCTTTGATTCACCACTGCTCGTGTGATTATTCGTATTGTGATTTTGCTGTTACAAATTATTGATGGTTTGATTCTAAGGAGACCATTGAGTGGTTCAGTTAGTGCATCTACTATTTTGCTAGTTATGCATTTTTCCGTTCGGTTCTCCAATCATACAGTAGCTTTAAGGTGTTCATAGAGTATCTTTCATCACTTGTTACTTCTTCTCCAAAGTTTAACATGGAACTTTGAGGCTTAACAACCAAGTTACAATAGAAGAAAATCACCGGGGAGGGTTAAGAGTTTAATAACCTTGCATTCCTTAACCAGACAAAATATGATGTTTTCTTGCCCAAGAGAGGCTTCAGATTGCATCCGGGAGCTCTTAGCTTAACCACCTTGCTTTCAACAAAAAGAAAGTCCCAATAAGTGAAGAGGAAGAATAGTGAAGATGAAAAACAATTGTTGAAAAGAAGAAGAGGAAAAACTGAGGAAAGTTGAAGAAAGAAGATGTTTTAGGTGAAAGAGAATTTGTCCTGTAAATTGTTCATTGAGATGGAAAGACGGTTGAATTCCAGCTTATTAAGTTTGCATTCTTTGTTTGATCAACTTAGCAAATTAATTTTGAAGAAAATTAAAAGGTGGAAAAGTAGAGTGAATGTTAGAGTGTTATTAGCTTGTTATGATTTGTTATTAGCTTGTTATTAGTTTGTTATGGTTGTTGGTTACTTGGGCTATATAAGCCATACTTATATTAGGTTGTAGGCAGAGTATTTCTTCAATGTTCAATAAAAGCTTCATTCTGTCATCTCTGTATCTTTAAGTTTCCTCATTCTTCAATTGTTATCTCAGTCCATCAGCTTTCGTCACTCTCAGCCTCCATGGCAGCATTCTCACATGGTATCATTCACCGATGATCCTGCATCTTTATTTCGCTTGCGTTTGTTGTTGTTTTCTTTCTAAACACCGATCAGTAACCGAATCCTCAACCACCGTCTGTCGCTATTCACCGTCCGTTTGTTTTTGTTTTCTTCATCGAAAATCCTTTGTTACCATGGGTCGTATGCACAGTTGCGGTAAGGGTATTTCTGCCTCAGCTCTACCTTATAAGAGAACCCCACCAAACTGGCTCAAGATCTCTTCTCAAGATGCTGAGGAAAACATTTGCAAGTTCGCAAAGAAAGACTTGACCTCATCTCAGATTGGTGTCATTCTTAGTGATTCTCATGATATTGCTCAGGTTAAGAGAGTTACTGGAAGCAAGATCTTGCGTATCCTTAAGGCCCATGGTCTTTCCCCTGAAATTCCTGAGGATTTGTATCACCTCATCAAGAAGGTCGTTGACATCCGCAAGTATCTGGAGAGAAACAGGAAGACAAGGATTCCAAGTTCAGGTTGATTCTTGTTGAGAGTAGTATTTACTGGCTCACTCGCTACTACAAGAAAACAAAGAAGCTTTCTCCTGTCTAGAAATATGAATCTACAACCGCCAGCACTCTTATTGCTTAAGCAGCATTTGTCTCGTGCAATTTCTAGCTCATCTGTGTCGGGTGTGGATGCTTCAATAGAGTTTGTTGCAGATATCAATTTTTATTTTGTTTTAGATGCTGTTTTAGTTAATATTTGGTGGTTTGGTTCACTACTGCTCGTGTGATTGTTCGTATTGTGATTTTACTGCTACAAATTGTTGTTGGTTTGATTCTAAGGTGACAATTGAGTGGTTCAGTTAGTGCATCTACTATTTTGCTGGTTATGCAATTTTATGTTCGGTTCTCCAATCATACAATAGCTTTAAGGTGTTCATAGAGTATCTTTCATCACTTGTTACTTCTTCTCCAAAGTTTGACATGGAACTTTGAGGCTTAACAGCCAAGTTACCATAGAAGAAAATCTCTGGGGAGGGTTAAGAGTTTAACAACCTTGCATTCCTTAACTAGACAAAATAGGATGTTTTCTTTCCCAAAAGAGGCTTTAGATTGCATCCGGGAGCTCGTAGCTTAACCACTTGCTTCCAACAAAAAGAAAGTCCCAATAAGTAAAGAGGAAGAAAGTGAAGATGAAAAACAAATCTTGAAAAGAAGAAGAAAAGCTGAGGAAAGTTGAAGAAAGAAGATGTTTTAGGTGAAAGAGAATTTGTCCGGTAAATTGTTCATCAAGATGGCAAGACGGTTGAATTACAGTTTATTAAGTTTGCATTCTTTGTTTGATCAACTTAGCAAGTTCATTTTGAAGAAAATTAAAAGGTGTAAAAGTAGAGTGAATGTTAGAGTGTTATTAGTTTGTTATGGTTTGTTATTAGCTTGTTCTTAGTTTGTTATGGTTGTTGGTTACTTGGGCTATATAAGCCATACTTATATTAGGTTGTAGGCATAGTATTTTCTTCAATGTTCAATAAAAGCTTCATTTTGTCATCTCTGTATCTTTAAGTTTCCTCCTTCTTCATTTGTTATCTCAGTTCATCAGCTTTCGTCACTCTCAGCCTCCATGGTAGGCCACTATCTACCATTGAAAGTTGATAGGGAAGAATTTGAATGATGCGTCGCCGACACAAAGGCCGTGCGATCCGTCGAGTTATCATGAATGATCAGAGCAGCGGGCAAAGCCCGCGTCGACCTTTTATCTAATAAATGCATCCCTTTTAGAAGTCGGGGTTTGTTGCACGTATTAGCTCTAGAATTACCATGGTTATCCGAGTAGAAAATACCATCAAACAAACTATAACGATTTAATGAGCCATTCGCAGTTTCACAGTCTTAGTTCATACTTACACATGCATGGCTTAATCTTTGAGACAAGCATATTACAACTTGGCAGCATTCTCACACTCAGATAGAACTTTAGATAGGATTTATAAATCCATCCACCACTTCATATGGGAATTTTGTAGCCAAATTCTCTCCTCAATCCCTAGAAGATTTCATAATTCCTCCTTGCATTTAGATAAAGAGAGCATTGAATTGGAGTCCGAAAATCCCTGCTGCATTGCTCTTTCTATATTGTGGATTTTCTTTTCCAAGACTTAAATCAATTTGGACGACTTCAAATGATGACTTTTGGACCATTGTTTGATAGCCACTTTGGAGAGTTTAAGAATACCCACCATCTCCTTTAGAAGATAATTATAAAATTTAAAGGGTGTCGACCCCCAGTTGCCTCCACAATTTTCAAGTAGGATTGCATTATGGTCTGATATCGATTTTAAAAGTAGACTTTGTGATATATTTGGGAATGCTGCCATAAACTGGGCATCCACTAAGATCTGATCAAGCCTTACGAACGTCGGATTATCTTTGTTATTACACCAAGTATAAGCTCCACCATGTAATTACAGATCAATTAACATAGCATGTTGAATGAAATTCCTAAACAACTCGACTGAATGCATGCTCATCGTCAACCTTGTTTTCCAAATGGGAAAGTAATTATGAGAAAAATGTTTCGTTATCTGACTTTATTGATGGCACATATAAATTTGATGAAACTACATTGAAATTGACTCAACTTAATCTGATCGACAATAACTATGAACCTTCTGGAGATAAAATTGTCCTTCATCTCGAAGAAATTATCATCCCACAAATACAATAGTCCACCTGCAGCTCCTTGTGAGAGAGACAATATATACCCCTTAAGATCTTTTCCCCTAGTTTCCTAAGTAAAACAGGTCTAATGATCTCCAGTTTAGTCTCTTGAATAAATAGAATGTTTGGTCTCTTATTGGAAATCAATCTCCGAACCACTCTAGACTTCTCCTTTTACCCTAACCCCTAGTGTTCCAAGATATGATTGTTGTGACAACAACCTTTTTCGGGTTGATAACTGGTTTTGAAAGATGTTAAAATATGAGAGTTATCACCAATCATTTTTAAAGTCGAATTTGACCACAGAAAATCAAGTAATTTTAAATAAAATATTTTATTTTATAAAAAATACTAAGTTTTGGTATGTGAAATCACAAAATGGGTTCGAAAGTCGATTACATGTGAAAGGATTAGCACCCCACAATACCCAAAATTGATACACCTTGTTGATTACCTATGGTTATAAGATTGAAAATTATTAGTTTGAGATTTTATTTAATTTTTGATCCATTATGTATGCATATTTGAAAAGCATATTTATGAAATTAGGAATTAATAATAATTACCCGGACACAAGTGGAGGTTTACCATTATTCCCATTAAATAAATATTGCCTTAGTTTTTAAACCATAATGCAATAATTTGAAAATGATGTTGATTTATTTCGAGTGATGATAATGGTCACCCCGAGCATAAGCGGGTGATACACTATTAAATGCCTAATAAATGAACACTGCCTTTATTTTTTGAAAATGAATTATACAATCAAACAACCAATTTTTGAACTTAATTAAAGCTTCATCTAACTAAAGTACTAAATTATGGATTTTAAAAGACTTAATAAGACTAATCCTAAAATTGAAACTCTAATATTAAACCTAAAGATTTTTAATTAGTAAACAAAAATTAAAGAGACTAAACCTAAAATTAAGGCTTCATTTACGTTGAGAATAAATTATTTAATTAACGAACCTAAATATAAAAGTAAGGCTCTAAAAAGAACCCGAACAAAAGCGGAAACTATTTTAAAAAATTCCCTAATTATTCTAAATGATGATCTAAAATTAAGGCTAACTAAGTAGTCATGGAATCGTGGGCTACATTAAAAATTAAAACATGCCAAGTTAAAAAGGATACATACATGAAAGCTCAAAACAAAAAATAATTACACAACAACTATATATGGCCAGAAATAAAGCTAATAAAAATCAAAAGGGAAATAGAATTAAAGGGCTTTTGTAGAAGGAAAATGAATTAAAAGGTAAATTGGAATTAAAACCTAAAATAGCCACATTAAAAATAAATATAAATAAGTATGAACTAAAGTAAAGAAAGGAAATAATTAACTTAAAAAGAA